TTTTGAGGAAATATCAAATTGTTTACCAAAGTGGCTGCACCATTTTATATTACACTAGCAGTGTATGAGGCTTCCAATGTCTTCACATCCTCATCATCACTTGTGAATTTCCTTTTTTTTTTTTTTTAAATTATAGCCATCCTGGTGGGTGTGAAATGGTATCTCATTGTGGCTTTGATTTGCATTTCCCTGATGGCTAATGATGTTGAACATCTTTTCATTTGCTTATTTGGCCATTTGTATATGTTCTTTGGAGTCCCAGGGTGGCACACACTAGGCTACTAACCAAAAGCTTGGATATTCAAGCCTACCTAGAAGTACCTGGGAACAAAGTCCTGGTGATCTACTTCCAAACAATCAGCCATTGAAAACCCTATGGAGCACAGTTCAGTTCTGACACACATGGGGTTGCCGTGAGTTGGAATAAACTCAGTGGCAGCTGGTTTAAGGAGAAGTAGTATTTCCAAATTCCCAACAGATGCTTATTTTTGGTATTTGGGAAAGTGAAATTGGAATACCCAAAATCATGTTATTCTTAAAATACCTACAACATTCTTCATACTCTTTACTCATTATTTTGGATGTCTAAAAAATTGTTTAATAAATAAGAAATATTAAGTCAAGTAATATTTACAAAGGCCATAGAAAATATTCAAACACTGGAAAACACCAGTGAACATTATTGGGTAGTAGCTGAATAACATAGTGTTTGGCTCTCCTACCAAGGTTGGATCCCTGGTGGTGCGGTGGTTAAGAGCTTGGCTACTAACCAAAAGGTCAGCAGTTGGAATCCACCATCTGCTCCTTGGAAACACTATGGGGTAGTTCTACTCTGTCCTGTAGAGTCGCTATGAGTCGGAATTGACTCGAAGGCAACAGGTTTGTTTATTTGTTTTTACCAAGGTTGACCACACTACGCAGAATCATCTGTCAAAATTGCCAAATTAAAAACTTACTTTGCTTCCAAAACATGTTATTTGTTGAACACCATTGATAGGATTTGTACAAAGTATTCTGTGAGTATAATATTTATTTGCAAGAATGACTCACTGTTAGCGGCAGACAGGGCCGGGAAGACTCTTATAGCACGGCAACAGCTACGAGCAAGACTGCTTTTTATAATGTGGCCACTTCTCTTCTAGCGCCCCTCTCCTTTTCCAGAAATGTTGACATTATTCTTCAAATCGTGTTGGTGTTCTCACTGTTGATTTCTATGATGTCCTTCAAACCAGTAACTTCTCTATGTTGATTATTAAGCTTTAATTCTCGCAGGAGAATTATAATACTTTTTCACATTTTCCCAATTTCTTAACTGATTGTTCTTGGGATTTGGAAAAACATAAAATTTCCAAGAAATGCTGGGAAGGAATTCCCACACGGAAACACTTGGAAGAACCATGAGTACACTAGGAAGGCTAGGAGAGTGTGGGGCATGAAAGCTAAACTAGAAGAGAGTTTAAGGAGTAGGAACACTAAAGTATGTAAGATAAAAACTGAATTCAGCAATTCCACTGCTAGGTGTATACCCAAGGGACTTGAAAGCAGTGACACGAAGAGACATATGTACATCAGTGTTCACTGCAGAACTATTCACAGTAGTGAAAAGGTGGAAACAACCTAAATGCCCATCAATGGATAAATGGATAAACAAAACGAGGTACATACATACAATGGAATACTACTCAGCCAGAAAGAGAAATGAAATCCCAATACATGCTACAACATGGATGGACCTTGAAGACATTATGCTGGAGGTATAAGTCAATCACAAAAGGACAAATATTGTATGACCGCACTTATATAAAAAGACAAGAACAGGCAAAAGAATAGAGACCAAAGTTTATTAGTGGGTTACCAAGGGCAGGAGGGAGAGGGAAAAGGGAGATTATTGCTCATGGAGCACCGAGTTTTTGTTTACAGCGATGAAAAGTTTGCATTCATTAAGGGTAAGGGTTGCACAGCCAATTGATGTAATTGCTGTCAATAAGTTGTACACCCGTAAAAAGTAGAACTGGTAAAAGTTGTGTGATCTATTTACAATAACAAAAGAGCAGCTGCTGAGGCTGCTTATGTACAGCCAAACACCTCATGGGATTTGGTTTCTTGGTTTCGAGGTTTAGGGTTATGATTTCAGAGGACATCTCAGTTAATTGGCCTAATACTATGTTTAGTGCTTCTGTTCAGTCTCCCACTTAGTTGTGTAGTACCTGAGGTCTTAAAAACTTGCAAGTGGCCATCCAAGGCACAACAATTGGTCTCTATTCGCCTGGAGCAACAAAGAAAGGAGGAGGAAATGGAATGCGTGGTTAATTGCCTTCATGAACAACTGCTTCATTTGCCATGAGACCAGAAGAACTGGATGGTGCCTGGCTACTGTTACTGAACATTTTGATCAAAGATTCTATGGAAGAAACCTGATCAAAGAGGGGAAGAATACAGAGCAGAATTTCAAATTCTCACAGAACCCAGACTTTCCGGAGCCATGGAGGCTGGATGAACCCTTGAAACTATTTCCCTGAGATAATCTTTAAACCTTAAACCAAAGATATCCCCTGAAGTCTTCTTTAAACCAAACAACAGTTTAGCTTGATTAGTAAAGAATGTCTGCCTTGAGCATTGTGCTTTTTTAAAGAAGTATCTATATGAGATCAAATTGACTACAGCAACACAAAAGAGTAGATAAGAAGCTTAGGAGGCAGTGAGTTTATGTCAGTGGGGGAGGAACAACTGCATAACTTGAAGAATGTAATCCATGTTACTAAATTGTACGTGTAGAAATTGTTGGATTGATGTATGTTCTGCTGTGTATAGTCTCAACAATAAAAAAATTATTTTAAGAAAACAACTGAAGTATTGATTTGTTAGCTAAGTCATCAGTCATATTAAAGGGCAGTTTCAGTAGAGTAGTACATTGTATAGCAGCTGACTGGAGTCAGACCTGGCTTGAAATCCCGGCCTTTATAATTACCAGATATGTGATCCTGGACAAGTTATTTAATATTACTGAGCCTCAGTTTTCTCATCTTTTAATGGAAATAATACCTACTGTGGGGTCTGGAAAGAGCCCTAGTGCACAGTGGTCAAGCGCTCAGCTGCTAACCATAAGGTCGGTGGTTTGAACCCACTAGCAGCTCCGTGGGGAAAAAGATGGGGTAGCCTGCTTCTGTAAAGATTACAGGCTTGGAAACCCTATGAGGCAGTTCTACTCTGTCCTATAGTGTCGCTATCAGTCAGAATTCGACTCAATTCAACAGCAGTGGGTTTATGGGTGGCGTCTGGGATTTGAGTTCACCCTCCTTATAAACTCACGAATTAATCTGTTACTGTTTCATGGATGCTGGCTCCATGACCAAGAGGAGACTCCCTGGTCACAGACAAAGGGCCTTATTACTCATAGCACGGCAGGCAGCATGAGCATCATGTATTCACTGGTTTCTTTTCCACCAAGTTCCAAAGAGGCGACATGGAGGGGCCCAGATGGAGGCTAGGCACCCAGTGAGTTGGATTATAGGAGAGGAACACAGAGCTTAGGGAACGTGCTGTTTGATAGCAAGCAGTAAGCAAGCTGCACTTTGTCCCAGATGGAGCCATTACATCATTCCTCAAGGTTGCTTGCTGCAAATACAACCATGAGAAATGGCCTGGGTTAAGAGTGGCCAGGGCCTTGCATTTCTGGCATACTCAATAATATGAGAAACCCATGGAAGAGTATCTCTCAACATCTACTTTATAGGGTTCTTACAAAAATTAGACTGGATAAGTAAACTAGACAAAAAAGGACAAATGTGTGGTCCCACTTACATGAAATATCAATAGGCAGATGCAGAACATCTAGACAGAAACTAGATTAGTGGTTACCGTGGAACTTGAAAGCACTGATGACACGAACAGACATACGTACATCAGTGTTTGTTGCAGCGTTATTCACAGTAGCCAACATCTAGACGGAAAATAGATTAGTGGTTACCATGAGCTGGGGGCAGGGGGAGATAGGGTACAGGGTTCCTGTTTGGGGTAATGAAAAAAATTTTGGAAACAAACAGTGGTGATGGTCGCACAACACTGTGAATATAATTAACGTCCCTAAATTGTACACTAAAAAATGGTTAACGTGGAAAATTTTGTTATATATATTTGAGCACAATAAAATTTAAAAAAAAATTTAAATTGGAATGTATATAAAGTGCTTAACACATTACCTAGCATATCATAAATGTTCAATAAAGGGTGGCTATTATTAATAATATTGCAGTAGGCCAAATAAAAGGAGCCCTGGTGGCACAATGGTTAAGCATTTGGCTGCTAACCGAAAGGTTGGTTATTCAAACCCACTAGTGGTCCTGTGGGAGAAAAGACCTGGTGATCTGCCCCTGTAAAGATGACAGCCTAAGAAACCCTATAGGGCAGTTCTACTCTGTCCTATAGGGTCACTATGAGTTGGAATCTAGTCGACGGCACACAACAACAACAGGCCAGATAAGCAGATGGAGATGTGAGTATGGTGAATGTAGGCTACTCCTTCAAGAAATGTAGCTGACAATAGGAGATAGGGACAGAGACCAATTGGAAAGTTATTTTTTGTTTTTAAAGACAGATTTTAGCATGTTTAGAGGCTGGGGTGTAGGTGTTTTTTATAAAAGGGGGGCTCTGAGACCATTAAAAGAGGAGAGAAAGGAATAATAAATGGAGCTCAGTTCCTGATGGGGCAGAAGTAGATGGAATCCAGGCACAAATATGTGGATGAGTATTACATACAGGGGACTCTTAGCCCCTGAGATGGGATGGAAGCAAGTAACTATGATAGTCACACTGGTGAATTCAGAGTCAGAGTGGGGAGTAGAATGTTGAAGGAGTTCCTAATTTGACACCGTTGTTTTTTTTTTTTTGTTTTGTTTTTTAGTGAAGGAGGAGAACACTTACGGAAGACATAAGCAATGTTGAAGGTTCAAATGATGCTGGAGATGAGGAAAGATACTGTGGCCCCTCTAGCTGCATCGTGATTTTTCTTTTTCTTCACAGCTCAGATATAGGTATGAAGGCAGATTAGAGATTAACTCAGATTAGGATTATGTATTAGTTAATTCTTTTGGTTGCAAGTAACAAACTCAACTAAAGGGGGAATTTACTGGAAGGATATTGGGATCTCCAACTTAATAGAGGGTCAGGATCACAGCAGGTCATCGAATGGACCCTGGGACTGAGGTGTCTTCGGGAACCTAGAAAGTTTCTCTCATCACTGCTGTCCTCAGACCACTTACTAGAACCTGACCAATAATGGCTCCCAAGTTTTATGAGTTATATTCCAGGCACAAAGAAAGTTACAGAATTCTCAAGTAAGGAAATAGTTGGGTCAGCCTGGTGATAACGGGTAGAGGAAGGAGCTAAAACAAACATTCTAATAGGTCTCTGCTATGGCAGGGCAGGTCTCAATCAGAACAGTAAAACTTTCAACTCAGTCAAGAAATTAGACTTCCATTTTGTAAACAACAGTAATTCCACAAGGAACATAATTCATTCATCAGAGACTTTAATGAGACCCAATGTGGTACGGCCCCTGCCCTGGGGTAGCTCATCAGCCAAGGAGAAAGTTACAATGCAACCGAGCTAAATACCAGAAGTAATTACAAAATGTGAAGTGCCCTCCAGCTGCTCCTTACTCAGGGTGAGATCTAGAGAGTTCAGGAAACAGCAGCAGGGGTAGGAGGCTGACCCACTCCAGCTGCTGGAGGATAAGTCATGTTTGGAAGCTTCAATTTGGTGCAGTTGCCCAAGGCAAAAATGGCAGGCCTTGTTCGCATTTAAATTCAGTAAAGCTTTACTTAGCACCTACTTAGAGGTGGGCGCCATAGGGGCATAAAAAAAAACCAAACCCATTGCCTTCGAGTCAATTACGACTTATAGTGACCCTACAGGAGAGAGTAGAACTGCCCCATAGGGTTTCCAAGGAGTGGCTGGTGGATTCGAACTGCTGACCTTTTGGTTGGAAGCCAAATGCTTAACCACTGTGCCACCAGGCATAGCAGTAAGACACTGCTACCCCTCAAGAGCTTATGTGAGGGAGGCAAGCATGAACACACTCTTCCTGCTTTGTAGACTTCACTTTCCTTCCTATACTCCTTGAATGACCTTACCTTATTTTATGAAAACTGATGTTGACTGAGGCCTGATATAAGGTTCTGTGCTGATTCTCCTTATTCTGATGAGAATCAGGGAGGAGTAAGACCCAGTTCTCAAGGATTTCCCAGCTCCCTGGAACTAATCCAGGGCCACAAGATCAAGTACAACAAGGAGGTCCCATCCTAACTTCTTGTTGCTAGGCCATAACTCCTCTGCTTTTCCTCGAAATCAACCGTCTCCCAAAGGTTACTGTGCTTTTATGTCCTACACTTGATGTGAACCAACTTTCAAAACACAGGGTACAGAAGACTTAGCTTCATAGCACGTGGTTAATATATTTAAAAAAAGTTTAGGGCATTTAGATGTCTGCATCCCATAAACTCAGGGTGTGGAACAGCTGCCCAAAGTCCAGTGCAAGCTAGGCTGTTAACACAAGCACAGACCAAGGAGGGGTACAGTGTACAATGTGGCACTGGCTTATTCCTACATAGCCTTTGAAAAGGAACACTGGAAAACCAGCACCTGTTTGGAGACACATTGTGTGGGAATTGAAACTGTCTTTAAGAAATGACTGACCAAATTAGTGGGGGCAAAGTAGCTGTGATTAACAGTTATCTGAAGGCATGCAGATGAAGTACTAAGCATATTCTGGGCAAGGCTTACAGGGAAGGAGAATGTAGTACTCAACAACCTCCTAAAGATCCAAGCTATCCCACAATGAAATGACCTGCCTTGTGAGGTAGTGAGCTCCCTGTCAAGAGAAGTTTTCAAGCAAGGGGTAGAAGACCACTTGGCAGGAGTGTTGTAAAAAGGGAACTAAACCAGTTCTTTCAAGCCTGGCATGGAGGAAGCAGCAGAGTAGGCGATGGTCCTGCCCCCTGTAAGTGGGATTCTCCTGACTGTACCTACAAACTAGAAAAGCTGACAGCCCCTAAAATAGATGGAGAGAACTTCTAGCCCTGATATCCATACACAGTGTTTTAGGATGGGGTAGCTTGGAAAACTTTAAGCAAATGGTATCACCTCTCCCAATGGGACCGTCTGTTCCAGACACACACAATAAGGCAGCCAGCAGGTGGAATATACTAAAGAGTTCTTGTGTAGCAGGAAACCTGGGTTTTCATTCTGACTCTGCCCTGTATGACTGGGGCTCCTCTTTCCCTTCTCTGGGCCCCTCCATGAAAGGGGCTGGAATCCTTAACTCATACAGTGCTTCCCACTCTAAAGGGCATTGCCTCTCTGGCTAGGCCCCTCTATAGCAGATCTAGGGCTACAGTTTTGGGCCCTGGAGTTACACTTGTGGACGGCCAGAGACCACCTCTGGCGGAAGCAACGGCCACACTGAAGGCAAGGGAAAGGCTTCTCCCCAGTGTGCAGAAGCTGGTGCTGAGCCAGGTGGCTCCACTGCCCAAAGCGCTTGGAGCAGAGGTCACAGGCATAGGGCCGCTCGCCTGAGTGCACGCGCTGGTGACTGGACAGTAGCGAGGGGTAGGCAAAGCGGCGGCCACAGACATCACAGGCGTGCAGCTTCTCCTCCGTGTGTGTGCCGCGATGTATGGCTAGAGAGCCGCTCCGCCGGAAGGCACGCCCACAGTCTGGGCAAGGGTAGGGCTTCTCTCCTGTGTGCAAGAGCTGGTGCTGCAGCAGCGTACTGCGCTGAGAGAAGCGGGCCTCACAGTGCTCGCAAGCATAGGGACGCTCCCCAGAGTGCACACGTCGGTGACTGACCAGGCGGGAGGATGAGGAGAAACGCCGCTCACAGTCTGGACACGGGTAGGGCTTCTCGCCTGTGTGGATGCGCTGATGGATGACTAGAGCAGTGCGCTGGCGGAAGCGGCGATTGCATTCCAGGCAGGTATAGGGCTTCTCTCCTGTGTGTGTGCGCTGGTGGATGGCTAGCAGGGAGGGGTAGGCAAAGCGACGCCCACAGCTAGAGCACTGGTGGGGTTTCTCGCCTGTGTGGGTGGTCCGGTGATTGGCCAAGGACCGGCTCCTGCGGAAGCAGCGGCCACAGTCAGGGCAGTGGTAGGGCTTCTCCCCTGTGTGGATAACCTGGTGTTGGGCGAGGTTCTTGCGCTGGGAGAAACGTTTGCCACACTGGTCACAAACATAGGGGCATTCGCCAGAGTGTGCCCGCCGGTGACTGACCAGCAGGGATGGGTAGGAAAAGCGGCGCCCACAGTCCGGGCAAGGGTAAGGCTTTTTCAGATTCTGGGCACACTTGTGGCTCTCCAGGGCTGAGTGATCAGGGAAGGTACAGCCACAGTCAGGGCAGATAGGGCCCCCAGATGTCTGCCTGGGGATTAGTCGGGGTTTGCTAGGCCGGCGACCTCGCTTCCCCTTTCGGGGTGCCTCCTTAGGTGGGAATACTTCCTTCTCCTCATTCTTCCTTCTGGTTCTGGTCTCTATAGGGATACAGGGAGAAATTAATTTAACAACACTGGGTTCCTGCTTTTGCCTATTACAGTGCTATATGCTGAGGTAGCTACATGCTGAGACAAACGGACTCAGTTCACACTGTTAGCAGCACAGACAGCTAAGTGTGACATACTGCTATAGAAACACGGAGGGTATTACAGGATCCCTAATGCAGCCTCGGCTGGTCAGAGAAGGTTTCCTGGAGGAGATTAAGCTGACTTAATGAAAAGTTTTTGTAGCGGTAAGAAGTTTACATGGTTCAAAACACAGAATTATTTAAAAAGGAACGCGGAGAAGTCTTGCTCCCACCCTTGTTCCCATCTACCTTATAGAAATCATATTAGCTTCTTCCAGTGCTTTACGAAAATACAAATATATATTCTCTTCCTCCACTTTTCTTATATAAAAGATAGCATATACATACTGCATGTACAATTTTTCACTTAATAAATTCTGAGATCTTTATATGTCAGCACATGTCCTTATTTCATTTTACAGTAGCATAGAACCCCACTGTGTGGATGAGCCGTAGTTTAACTGAGCTGACTCTTAAAGGATGAATTAACATAATGGAGGTTTGAAAGGTTGAAATGGCAGGCCCAGCAGTGGAGACACCATGAAAAATCCCAAAATTCAGTGTGTGGCAGGTACCACAAGCCTTAAGATCTTGAGACAAAAAGTACAAGGCAAGAAGTGGAAACAAAAGAGGCATGAGCTTGGCAGTAAATGGGTCGTGGAAGACCCTGTAAGCCAATGGGTCTCACACTTTATTGTGATTAGAATCATTTGGAGGGCCTGTTAAAATGGATTGCTAGGCTCTACTCCCAGAGTTTTGGATTCAGCAGGTCTGGAGTGGGGCCCAGGAATTTGTATGTCTAACAAGTTCCCAAGTGATGCTGACGCTGCTGGTCTGGGGGCCACACTTTGAGAACCACTGCTGTAAGCATTGTTAAGGACCTTGAACTATCTTTTATCTAGTGGTTTTCAAACCTAGACACACATCCAATATCAACTGGAGCTATTAAAAAAATAAATAATTACAACTTCCTAAGACACACACAAGACTGAATCAATAGTCTGGAGTGGGGTTCAGGAATCTGTATTTTTACCAAGTTTGCCAAGTGACTTAGATATGATTGATAGCCATTTGAGCCCGCCTTGGCAAGAACTAACTGAAAAGTTTTAAGCAAGGAAATAACATGGTGAGAGCTGAATCTTAGAAAGATAGCCCTGGCTTTAGAGAATCTGGTAGAAACTCCAGCCCAGACAGTTCCATCTGCCCCAGTGGGTGGATGTAGGCCCTTGCACCTGAATCCCATTAATCAGAACCTTGCCTCACCCTGGGGAAGATACAGTGTGTCCTGCACTGATCTGGGTCATACTGCCAGAAAGAGGCCCCTGCACCCCAGGGAGCCGCTCCCTGTCAGTTCCCTTCAAAAGCCAGGAAAACTCAGAGACGTATAGGATCTTTCAGTCAGAGCTCAATATAAAGGAGGGTGAGGGGTCAGGGATCCTAGGAAGGAAGCAGGAAGGGTAGGTCCTTTTAAAAGCTGATGCAGCGACACAATTTAGAACTGCAGGTGGTTAGTCTGCAAACTGACACCGTTAATCTTTGTTCCGCGTGGTGGACCAACCCCACCATCAGAGAGACGAAGATTCTCAGGTTGCGAAAATGAGCACGGCAAATGAAGCACCACAACATGGTCACCGTAACTCCTAGGCGGACCAAAATTCTGAATCAGGACTTTAAAGGAGGGCTTCAGGGCCTCCATGGGCATTTTTCACTCACTTCTCTGGACTGTTATCCCTCTCGGGCACTCCTGCGGATCCAGGGCTGCCGGTTCCCAGTCATCGGTGTTTCGTTCCAACCAGGAGATGAGGGCTGGTTTAGGACCTGCACAACCTGGAGAAGAAGAACCAATCCGAGGGCCGGCTCGCAGACAACACTAAGTAAAAGCCTACCCGATGGCATCTCCTGCTGCGCCCTTGTCCCCTCTCCTGACCCAACCTGGTCGTATGCCAGGAGCCTGGACTCCCTGCCCTCTCCCCCGCCCTCAAGCTCCTTCAATCCTTCCCGCCCGCGGAAGCAGATTGGGCTGGGCCTCACCTAGCGCGCCCAGGTGACCGTAGTTCTCCCGCATCACGTCCCGGTACAGGGCCCTCTGCATGGGCCGCAGACACCCCCACTCCTCGGGGGAGAAGTACACGGCCACGTCTGCGAACCGTACGGCCCTCGGCCTCCTTCCCCTCCTCCGGCCGCGCCCGGCTTCTCCAGGTCCCCGCGCGGAGAGCGGGGCCGAAGGCGGCGCCATTGGACCGGAGAAGCCGGCGCCACGGCCTTCCTCGTCCCAGTCTCGGCCCCTGGCGCTGGCGAATTCCAGGATTTAGGAGCTTTCGCCGGGCCGGGGACGAGCTCGGCTGGGAGGTCGGGAGGTGATCGGAATTGGTCGCCTGCGGGACTAACGGAAACCTTTCGCTGTGGGTGAAAAGCACCGGAAGATGCCTTCGGGGAAAATGGCGGCGCTGCTACTGCACCGCCTTTGCCTGGAACACAGGCTGTTTCCAGCTATCGATTTTATTGACCAGAGCGCCATGCCGGCTTCCTAACCTCTTTGCCCTCAAGTGCAATGGCGCTGCAGTTGGGCTTCACGCCCCCTCCCCTTTTTCGCATTGCACGCGGTCATTGGGCGGCGGCCGAAGAACGAGAGTTCTGATTGGGTGCTGTTGAACGCGGCCTGTTTGAACGAAGTCAACGGACGCGTAAGGGCAAGAAGTTGGACCATTTGTGACCTGTACTCTAGTATGAGTTGGGAGGGGGGAAGCAGCGACCTCGGATCCCTAAGAGGCCCTAAGGCTGTGTTCCTTAGGTAGACGGATTTAAGGGAGGGATGGATTTGAGCGACACAGCAACTCTGGCCAGCCTGGCACTGGGTTCCTTTTTGTGATTTTTTAAGAGGAGCCTTCGCTTTGGATAATGGTTAACTTCCATTGTTGCCCTTTTGTGAAGGGAATTAACCTTAACGTTTACTGGGGGCCTGCAGGCATCATGCCCAACTTATTACATGCTTCTCCCTATTATTTGCTACCATTCTGTGATGTGATAGTTATCATCCCTGTTGTGCAGAAGAGGAAACTGAATCTGAGGGATTTCATGGGTTTCCCAGGGTCACACTGCTAGTAAGGAGTGATGATTTAAACGTGGAGCTGACAGGGCCTTGATGTATACCACCCTTTAAGAGCTTTGTTGTCCTCTAGTGGATTCCAACTCATAGTGACCTTGGAGCCCTGGTGGCGCAGTGGTTAAGAGTTCAGATGCTAACCAAACGGTCAGCAATTTGAATCCACTAGCCACTCCTTGGAAACCCTATGGGGCAGTTCTGTCCTATAGGGTCACTATGAGTTGGAATCAACTCGATGGCAACGGGTTTGGGTTTTTGTCTTTTCTTTTCTCCCTCACACTAAGAATCCCTAGTTGTGCGGTGGTTAAACGTTCGGCTGCTAACTGAAAGGTCAGCAGTTCCAACCTATGAACCGCTCCACAGGAGTAAGATGTGGCAGTCTGCTTCTGTAAAGATTATAGCCTTGGAAACCCTATGGAGCAGTTCTACTCTGTCCTAGTCAGAATCTACTCGATGGCAGTGGGTTTTGGTTTTGGTTTTGTCCCTCACACTATCCCAATTTGCTTGCTAACTCAGGCATCCACAGGAACTCCTAATCTCTCCTCAGGTGCAATCTTCTGCATCTGTCTCAACACTTTATTTTCATAGGACATTGGTTCAGTGTACAAAGCACAGTGCTAGACACATAGGAGAAGCAGAGTTAAAAAAAAAATAAGCCGTGCTATGAATGGAGCTTAGAGTCTAGTGAAGTGGACAGACAAATTCACAAATAACAGAATAATATAAGCATGCGTATGTGAAAGGGACAAGACAATTGCTACTGGAACCAGCCAGCACTCACTGCATCACCACAATCTCATTGTTCCCCACATCTATGTTAAGTGCTGTGCTGCAGTTTCACCAGTTCAGTGCCATTTCCTGGAGGAACTGGAGGCAGGAGAGTATAGCATTTGCCACATCTCTCACCTCAGCAGGTGACGTATATATCTATCTCTCTAATCCATTAATCAATATTTTTAAAGCACCTACTATGGGCAAAATACTAACCCCAAAGCCTTCAGAGAATAAAGACAAACAATGTAACAGGAAGAGTCACAAAATAAGATAGTGGCAGCTTCCAAAGGCAGTAAGATGGCCCAAGGAAGATGATTCCCTTGAACAGAGGTGGTAGAATAAACTGTAGTCAACATTCACCGACTTCTCCTCTGTGTAAGAAACGGAGGCCGTTTATTAACAAACAGGCAATGTCAAGATTGCCAAGATGAATAAGACAAAGTCCCTCTTAATGAACTTCCATATTGACGCATCAACTGGGAAGTGAGTTTGGTCTATGGTAGGGTAGGAGTTACTGAGGGCAGTGGTGCTCAAGATACATTTGTTGAATAAGCAACTGAATTTGATGGCTATTTGTGATGTTTAAGATTGTGTGTCAACTTGGCTGGGTCATGATTCTCAGTGTTTTAATGTGATCACTCCCATGATTGAATATACTGTGAGTAGCAAATCAGATGAAAGGGAGTCTCTGAGAGTGTGGCATGCATCTGAATATAAGCAGACATTCTGGCTTTTTGCTCACTCCAGATCCTGTGGCTGCCGTGTGTTGTCTCATCTCCAGTTCTCGGGACTTGAGCTGTCAGTTTATCTGCCGAACTTAGGATTTGTCGATCTTCACAGCCCCTGCAGCTATGTGAATCAGGAGAAACCTTGTGGTCTTGCCTGCCGATCTTGGAATTTGTCAACCTGCACAGCCTGTGAGCAGGAGCCCTGCTCTGCAACCTGCCGATCTTGAGCTCACCAGCTTCTGTGGCTACATGACCTGGGAGAGACGTCTACCCTGATCCACGGACTTCGGACGTTCTAGCCTCTAGAATTGCATGAGCTGTTTCCTTGATATAAATCTCTCTCTCTATATATATATTTATATGCTTTGCTGGTTTTGCTTCTCTAGAGAACCCAGCCTAAGACACTATTGAAGGTCTCTGGCACAAAGCCAGAGATTCAGAAAAGTTCTGGGTGTGAAGGAAGTAATGATAATTTCTGATGTAGTAAAAGATACAACTATGGTAAGACTGAACGACTGAAAGGGTAGGTTGGCACCAGATATTGGAGGGCTTCATCCTGTACGTTGGGGAGATCCAAAATAAGTCTATAGAAGTAAATAAGCTTCCCTTCTGAGCAGCCATCTAAGATACTCCACTGGTCTTACCCCATCTGGAGCAAGGGAGAATGAAGAAAAACAAAGATACAAGGAAAGATTAGTCCAAATAACTGATGGACCGCAAGTACTACAGCCTCCACCAGACTGAGTACAGCACAACTAGATGGTGCTCAGCTACCACCACCAACTGCTCTGACAGGGATCACAATAGAGGGTCCCAGGCAGAGCTGGAGAAAAATGTAAAAAAAAATTCTAACACCCCAAAAAAAAAAAAAAAAAGACCAGACTTACAAGTCTGACAGAGACTGGAGAAACCCTGAGAGTATGGCCCCTGGACACCCTTTTAGCTCAGTAATGAAGTGTAACTCCTGAGGTTCACCCTTCAGCCAAAGATGAGACAGGTCCATAAAACAAAATGAGACTAAAGGGGCACACCAGCCCAGGGGCAAGGACTAGAAGGCAGGAGGAGACAGGAAAGCTGTTAACGGGGAACCTAAAGTCAAGAAGGGAAGAGTGTTGACATGTCATGGGGTTGGTAACCGATGTCACAAAACAATATGTGTACAAATTGTTTAATGAGAAGCTAGCTTGTTCTTTAAAACTTCATCTAAAGTACAATTAAAAAAAAAAAAAGAAGCGAATGAGCTTCCAATGATGTTTTAGTAAGATTACTCTGGAAGTTTGTGGGAAGAATTGATAGCTTTGTGCCTACTTTCTGCCTACACATAGTTCAATTTGGAGCAATAAGAGTGTAATCTTAGGCTGCAGAGGGAATAAAAAGGCAAATGGATAGCAAACCATTTCATATGGAAGAAAGTGACTGAACAGAGGAGGCTGGAAAAGAATCAGAGTTCCTCTGTGGACACTTTGCCTAAATGGTAACAATGTTCTGTCAACTGAATGAAGAGAAGATGCTGAGATTGAACTGGAAAGAAAGATGGTTGAATTATAAGGTGAGAGGTGCTGGGCCCTCTTCCCACATCCAGGAAGTGGGAGAGCAGGTTGGACTGAAGGTGCAGTCTCAGCGTGGCCTTTCTGGCCCTAAGCTGTAAAGGCTCCATCTTAGCCTGGCTTGCCATCATCTTGATGGGAGCCACTAAGGCGGGACCTAGGAACCAGGCAGAGCTAGATCTTTGTAAAAATGGCGCGGCAGTGTCAGAGGTCCTCTAACTTCACAAGGGGGCCGATTCCTATGAGGTGGAGGTCAGACATACCTCCTCTCTCCAAACTTTTTACCAATTCTAACACCAGCCGTCCCTCGCAGGGCACTCTTTACTTCTCTGCGGGGATTGATAATTCGTTACAATGGCAGCACAGAACTCACAGAGCATACTCACGGTTATGGGGTTTGGGGTTTGTTAGGGAAGTAACAGGTTACAATTCAGGATCAGGAACAACTCAGGATACAATTCTTCGATCGGACAGCCTCTTCTCAGCCATGCCCACGGGCAGGCCTCTCTCTGGCCCTCAGCCCCTCGGCCTCCGGCCTAGACTCTGCCCTGCTCGCGCAAGTGTTACAAAGCTCTTTAGTGCCACCAGTAAGTGCCTGGAGGCACCCTACTCTGCCAGTAAGCCTCAGCCTGAAGGCACTCAGCTCTTGCTTAGTGGATCCTCAGCCTAACTCCACCAAGTGCCCGGAAGCACACCACTCCATCAGCAAGCCTCCTGCTCAAAGGCACTCAGCTCTGTTGCTCCATGGGTCCGCACACCCACTGTAGCTGCCTCACCCTGTGGTCTGGGAAGCCCATCGCACTGTCTCCTGGTTCTGCTTCTTGCCATCTCTGGTTTTACAGCCAGGGCTTCAAACCAGTTTGCTCTGGTTTGAACCCCAGCTAAGAATCTACATTGCTAAAAAGTTCCCTGCTGAGAATTTGCATTTCCACCCCAGAAATACTGAATCAGAATCTACAGTTTAACAAAATCCCTGGGTGATTCTTATGGATATAACTTCCTGAGAACTTGTTAGAAATGCAAATTCTCAGCAAGGGTTGAACTGGAATAAACCAATTCGAAGCCCTGTTACAGCTCTGTTTCCTGGGTCTAGGAAGTTCTCGGCACAGGGACCCAGGGTCCAAAGGATGCACTCCACTCCTGGCTCTTCTTTCTTCGTGGTAGTGAGGTCCCCCATCTGCTCTGAGATTGGCTGTCTTTTTAAGCCTAGCTGGATGGCAAAACTGACCAGTCCCCTTGTTAGGATTCCACACATCTTATTTGCATGGTCCCACCCTACAAGGATCCCATGCACCTTATTTGCATTAGCGGCAAGCTATCCGATCCCCTTGGTAGGCCACAAGCACCTTATTTGCATAGTTCCACCCAATCATTGTGTAGGAATCACAA